TGATTTTTAGAACTACTTTTTCTGGCATAATTTTCACAACTATTTTCGAAGTAGAAAGGTAACGCTGAAGTTTTAAGATAGTATGATGCATTAAGTTAAACCGTTAAAAAACTGGGACATAATACTGGGAAATCTATATATTTTTTTTAAACTTTTCCAGCTCAAATGTTTTTTGTTGCAATAATCAATACTTTTATAAAGTGCTTGGTATAGTGACCTCATGTGTATAACCCTATTTACGGTAGAAGTGTTTTTCAAAGAATCCATAAACGCAGCAAAAATGTGTCACTTTCTGAATACAGTAAGAGTGCGTGTTTTTTTTAATTTTTGTGACACATAATACTTTTAAGAACTAAAATACAGTCATGTCACGTTTCCCTAAAAAGTCAACAACCCTTAATAATAGCACTTTCTTTCACTCCCCTTTACTACGTGCAAAAAACATCATTCGAAAGCAATTTGTTCTTTCTATATTGATGTCTTTACAATATTTATACAAACGATTAAAAAATATATAAAATATAATGTATTAAAAATATATTATTTTAACATATTGTAAAACATTACTGAATATATTCAAAAAAAGGTTTTTATAAAATAAGGTTCTATTTAAAACTTATAAAATAATTATTTAACTAAAAAGGGCAAATTGTATTGTTACATTATTTCGCGGGAGCAAGAGATTAAATAATTCTCTTTATAAACTTCATCTACAATTTTAAATCCCGAAAAATAAAAGCCTGGAGCACCCTTCATAAAAACTGGGGCTTGTGACAATGTAATTCGATTATTCTATTTACTTATTCAGGCGATCACGCTAGTGTTGTTCGTGATATAAAATTGTAGAGGAATTTTGTAAAGATAATTACTTGATCTCTTCTTCCCATGATAAATTAGTAGCCCAAAGAGGCAATTTGTCTAAAAGGGCTATTCATTTCGTTTTGGCATTTTGCGTGAATTCTCTATAAACGGCGAATCACTTTTTAAATTGTTGCCACGAAATATCAGAGCCCTATATTATATTTAAAGAAATTAAATAATAAAGAATCTGCATAAATGTATGCTCTGTTTCTCGCACTGTGATAAAACAACGGTACCTCCAAATTTTGAATAACGCAAGTCTCCACACGAATATGGGCACCTGGAAGTCCAAATTTAGAATTTGTTTTATTATCTATTTCATATTTTGTAAAGCATTTATGAATTTTTGATTAAGAAACTCAACAGTTTCAAAGCAAGCAATGGCAACACTGTACCAGGGGGGGGGGGATTTATCTCCAGCGCGCGAGACTATTCTAAAGATATGTTCTTTTAAATATTTTGTGATACTGCTGTTGAATTAAATTTTATGTTTCAAGTACGAAAAACGTGATATTTAATAAGTACGAGTAACACAAGAAACGTTAAAAATGGACCCCTTTGGGCGTAATATAAAATCTGAATGCTTTCAGATTATTTTTTTTCCTTCTAGTACATTAATTATTTTATGAGTTTTAAATGAATCCTCATTTTATGAAAACTTCTTTACATTTTTCTGCTTTCATTTTTCAGGCTTACAAAATATCTCCGTTCAAATTTTTAAACTGAAAAGTTCTTCTTCAACAATGAATAATCATTCTTTTGCATCCAAGAATTCTGTTATCAAATAAGCGAAAGATATCCAGCAGTTTTCCAGAATTAGGAGAAATTAAGTTAAAAATTTCATATAAAATTAATTTCAATGATTTTCGTTCGCTCTAACCGATGGTGCAAAGAGTAAAATTCTGATTGTTTATTTTGGTCAGGAAACGAAAATGTGTTCAAAAAATCGTTTCATGGTTCTTTCAACAAGCTTGAAAGTCCATCCCACAAAATGAGGCCCACCAGCGGCCGAGCGGTAACGTCGCTGAACACTGGTAGTTCGGTCCGAGGTTCAAGTCTCGCGAACGGGCTGGCTGCATGGGTGTTTTCGTGGTTTTCCCCATGTGTAACGTGTATACGAGCCAGTTTCCCTTAAAAAGTCCTCCACGAAGGCATCCGTCCCTTAAGGCAGATAGCCTCGAGTGCTTTGCCGTAATCTAATAAACCAACCAACCATTCCACAAAATGACGTACGGCACCTGTACGTAACAAAGCATGCGCGTTTGCATGTTTGCATTCAGCATAGTGGTGACTACAGCAATTATTAATGTTCATTTCGAATGAGAAATGGTTATTCTCGGTCATATTTTAACCTGTGATCTTGAAACAGTGCGACCTATCATCTTGAACCACTATCTTTTACTGTGATTTTGAAACATTAATCAAATAAATATGTTATTTTGACAAATACTTTGCCTACACTATTCTGTACTCAATAGCGAACTTCAGAAACAGGCAGAACACCATGAAAGTGAAGAGTAACAACGTTATATTTTTAACTTATATAAAAGTACCAAATATTTCGCTAAAGGGAGATTTTTGAACTTTCGTTCAAAAAGGTAAATTTTCCTTTTGCAAAGTCATCTCAGTGGTGAAAACAGTTTCATAAAACTCTCTATCCTATTTTACAAATCGTCTTTCTTATTTTACAAAACTTTGCAATAGGAAGTGCATGTTTAAGGAACATATTTAAGAAAATAATTTGCACATTTTAGTAGCGCCTTGTATAATGGTAGCAGGCTCTACAATAGCAACATTTTTTGATTGGAATACATTTTGAATAGAATTCTATTGATTTCGGCAACGTTCTTCTTTAGGAGCAAAATCTTTTTCTAAGGGAGGAGTAAGCATGCAAATATATATAAAAATCAACTGAAAACGAAAGTACCGCCATCTATCGAGATAAACCTTCATGAAAGAATTTAGATACTAGAATTTTAGAAACGATTGGAAGAACTAGATATAAAATTTTATGAATGAAAAGTTTCGGGAAAATCCAGTTAAACTGAAAATTAAATCTCTAAAAAATCTTTGACATTAACAAAAATGTACCTACTTTAAATTATAACATTAATGCCAGTCTTAGCTTTTAAAACATAATTTTGCATTACTGTTTTCCCTTTGCACTACATTATTACTACTACATCCCCAGCCCGTTGATTTCTGTAAATATTTGATTTTTCTCTTATCTCCTTTAGTAATTTTTTTTTCATCCGATAAAAAACGGCCTGCTTCTGATCGCCCTCGAAATCGATAAATTTTTTGTTCAATATCTACGCCAAACTAAGATTAATTTTATGCCTAATTTGTAAATTTTACCCTGACGTACTTTTTTCCCACTTTGATACCATTGGCTACTTTGAAAATTTTAAGCAGTTGAAGTTGCAAAAAATTACTGCGGCAGTTTGATAATGAAAAGTTCGTTTATGTTATTAACAACTAAATCATTAATTTATAAAGTTTTATACTAATTAACCCAGTGTTTGCCTTTACTAGAACTTCTTCTTTCGTGAACTCCCACCAGGATACAAATAAATATATAAGGGCAGAGTTTTTGAGATTCAGAGATGGCTTTTCGGTGCTGCCGCTGACCGTTACTCTGTTACGAATCTCTTTTGATTTAACTGATTTATCGCCTTTGGCTTCGGCAAGCCACATTTGCTTTACGAATACTTAGGATCTAAAAAAAGTTTTTTTTTTTTTTTTTTTTTTTTTTTTTTCCCAATTTAATATTATAGATTGGTTTCAAACTTTTAAGCAGTTGAAGTTACAAAAAATTACTATGGTAATTTGCTAAAAAAATGTACTTTGATAATTAATAACTGATTCATTAACTTACAAAGCTGTATCTTAATTCACCCAGTTTTGAGCTTTACTAGAATTTCTACTTTCGTTAACTCCCACCAGGATGCAAATAAATAAATAAGCCGATATTGCTTGAGAGTCAAAGATAGCTTTTCGCTGCTTCCGCTGATCGTTACTGTGTTACAATCTCTTTTGCTTTAATTAATTTATCTGCTTTGGCTTCGGCTAACCGCATTTCCTTTACGAATATTTAGGACTCGAGGAAACGCTTACCTGGATGCATAGTATTTGTTTTTCCGTTTTAAAGCGGCTTGTCCATTTGTTCTACAAATCCCGCTAGAAGGGAGGATTTAATTTTTATTATACTTATTTTTGTATTGTTGTGCAACAGTCAATTTGACGTTTTAATAAATACGTTTATTTTAAACCTTTACTTTTAATTGGGATTGCTATCACTACAGTTCGTTACTTTTGAGTAGATGCTTCAAGGCCGTAGCAAGCCTCCCACACACAAATCATCTCCACACAAAGAGAATTAGAAGATTTTTAGTAAATTAGAAGATTTGATCTTTTTTCCTCCTCAGTCGTTGCTATGGTTTGGTTTATTCTGGCTTGATTTATTTCATTACGACAAAGCACACAAAGACTTTCTGCCTAAAGGGAGGGATGGCTTCGTGGGGTAATTTGTAAGGGAAATTGACTCCTACCCACGTTACACAAGGGGAAAATCATGGAAACAGCCATTCAGCTAGTCCGTTCGCTGAGGTCCGAGGACCGAACTACCAGCGTTCAGTGACTTTACGGCCTCGGGGGCCGCTATCATGGATATAAACATTTTGGGGGAAAGAAGAAAGAAATGGCCTTGAAGTGCCTATCCTAAACCCGGGACTAAAGTTGTCTGATTATTTTTATAGTTTGCAATTTAGTTTATCACTTAGTAGTAGTAGCAGTAGTAGTAGTAAGTAAGCAGAATAAACTTTAATATTGGGAGTACAAAAGAAGAATAAAACCTTTCAAATAAAAATGCTGAAGAAAAAACCTAATCCTAACATTTTTCGATATTTTTTCCCTGAGTAAATTTAAAGCTGTTTAAACGGTAGAAAATTTTATACTATAAATTAAATATATTTCACATAGATAAATTCGTAATTGCTTATAAAAAATTGAGTAAAGTTAAATCCTTCAATGCAAATATAATATAAGCATCTAATTAATAAAACTATGAATTAATTGTTACAGAATAGACAAATAACATGCAACCGATATTTAATAGTTATTAAAAAAATATGACTCACTCTTGTTCTTGAGGGTCCATCATATCTCGACTGTTTCGTAAATGCATTGACATAATAAACTTAAACAAATTTCAAAATGATTGCCTGACCTAATAAATCGAAAAAAAAAAAAAAAAAAAAAAAAAAGATTTAATATACATATATAAAGGTAAAAATATTTTAAAAAGGTTTTTAAAAATAAAATAATTAATGAAATAAAAGGAGAAAATAATTTATCATATAGTTGAATATGAACAAAAGATTAAATAACTCTCTTTACAGAATTCATCTATAATTTTATATCAAGAACAATGAAACCGTAGGGCGCTTTTGATAAATTTATAGTGTTAGGGATTACACTCTTGACAACGTTATTAAATGAATAGAATTCATTATTTTATTATTCGTGATATAAATTTGGAGATTGATTGTGTAAACAGAATTATTTAACCTATTGCTCCCATTAAGCGTTAGGATAAAATGTATTTCTCTTTTTCATTCATTAATTATTTTATGAATTTTAAATAAAAGCTTTCTTTAATAACTTTTCCATTAATACTTTTTATTTTTATCTTTTTATGATTTACCAAAGATACGTTATTAAACAAATTATTAGCCCAAAAGGGCTATTAATCTTGAAACGACATTTTGCATGGAATTACTGAAAGCGTTAAATTACTTTTCAAATTGTTGCCACCAAATATCATCATTCTGTATCATATTTAAAGAAATTAATAATGAAGTTTCTCGCACTGCGAAAAAACAACGGTACCTAGAACCATCGAATTCTGAATAACGTAGTCCTCCACACGAATATGGGCACCTGGAAGCCCGAATTTGGAATTTGTTGTTGGAAGTTGTTCGTATAGCACGGTAACACAGTTTCCTACTACTACGTTAATGAATACGCGTAAACTATCTTTATAACACTTTATTTATGTGTATATTTCAGTAACGCGATTTTTAGTCTAATCATTTACAAAATTAAACTGCTTATTATGTTATCATTTATTAATAGACCAAAAAATAAAATAAATTCCGGTGATATCCGCATTTTCTCACATCGAAATTCTTCTGGAATTGAGTCATGCCCATCAGTTACTTAGTATGTATCTTGCGCTTCAAATTTTTAGTTGATAGATTTCTTAAATTACGTAATTGTGATTTTAGAAGAAACATTTCAAAAGCATTTTGGGTATGTGTTACTAATTAGCTTCGTTATAGCTAGGAGCAATTATTGCGAAATTATATTTTAATACCCATCTATCTCTGAAAATAAGAAAACAATTTTTAAAAGAAAAATTTCTTTGGGAAGCAAAACACAAATTTTGAACCCTTTGATAAAATGAAAAGATCCGATGTGGACACCGCATGACTTCCTAGTATGGCCTATTAAATTATACACATTTGTTAGCTGCATTTCATTTAAACGTTATTTCCTCGAATTTCATTAGGGATATATTTCGCATTCAATAAATTCAGTTCTCACTTCTCGGCAAGGCAAAAATACTTAAAAACTCATAACATCTTCCTTAAAAATTGTAAAACGCAGAAAACGTAAAACACCAGATGCAATTAGTTAAAAAAAAACATTTTTTATAGTTAAAATTAGAGCTTCTACGCCAAAACAAGCAATTTGCCAACAGGCAGGAAGACCTTAATTTCGGTGCACAAATATTTAAAGTGAACGGTTTCAAATGTAAATAAATGGCTGCCTCGTTAGGTGTAGCGCCGCTTACGTTTTTAAGTTGCTGGTAATTTTATAACTATCGCATGCAGATTAACTAAAGGCCTAAAAATCCTAACCGAAAAATAAGAACAACATAATTCGATCACTTTTAAAGCAAAAAAGACCAGTTTATCAATATATAAAGAATAGAAAAAAAAGCAGAGTTCACTGAACCGAGTAAGAGGATTGGAATATATATATATGTTTAACGAGGCCGATTATTAACAAAAAAGGGGTGGTCTACAATTAGATATGTTATAGCAGTCCCATATACAAAATTTTAACTTTCTACGGCTAATCGTTTTTGAGTTATGCGAGGTACATACATACTTATGTCACACAGATGTCAAGAACAAATTCCCTTCTGAAACCATTTGTAATCCATTTTATAATCCGTTTTGAGAAAGAGAGTCCTTTATTCTGCCCGTACGTACAGATGGCACGCAAAACAGTTATTTAAATGGATTTAAGAGTGGTCAAAATAGATATTTTCATTGAAATATTATGCCCGAAATTTTTCGAGATTACAATATTTCCTTTGCTTCGTTCAATGAAGTAAAAAAGCATCAAACGTTGCAAAAAGTTTAAATTTAAGTGATGCAACAGTGAGAACCATTTTAAAAACATACTGTTGCTTTTAAAAGTTTTTGGAATGCATCTCTCTATTTTGTATTGGCTGTTTGTTTGGTATAACACAGTTTCACGCAACACGGTATGTTTTAGGAATCTATTTATAGTGTTACAGCAGGGATACCAGTAATAAAAATGTTATGCCTTGTAATTTTTTTTCCTGTCAAAAGCAACAGCAGATAATGTCTGAATATACCTGGAGGAACTAAATCTAAAACGATTATACTGAAATTCTATTTCCGTTAAAGCTTTTAACAACAATAAAAATTTCGAATTCAGTTTTCAGATGAAACTGAATAAATTGTGTTAGGCTGATTTTAAATAGCGCCAAAAAATATAAATCAAAATTTTTATTTAAAAAAAAGGATCATTTGTTAAATTGGGGGGAAGAAATCTTCATTTGGGGGAAATTATGATTGTTTTCTTCTTATTGCTTTAAATTTTTCTTCCTAAAAGTATACATGATATTGAAGCAAGTTGCCATGAGACATTAACTACGATCTTTTCAATACATTAAATTAATTATAAGTTACAAAATTACTGAGCAAAATAACTATAATTTTTTGCATAAAAAATTAAATAAATTTTTAAAAGACTTATTTAAATTCTAATAATTATAATTACCTTAGTATCAAAGGCTTGCAAATAAATGCACAGAAATTACAAGCTTCACACAGTTGGTTTGAATTTCAGCAACAAGTTAGAAGGCGTTTTAACTAAAGAAAGATAACATTAAAGATAACATTTAACGGCTCTGAATGTTATCACTTCGAGTATGTCGATAATAAAGGTTCTGTGGTCATTTTTAAAAAGACAATTCCACGAAAACAAATTGAATAAAACAGATGCTTTGTTTCTTATGTTGAATAAGGTGTTCACCGCTTATTTCTTAAAATAAATATTTAAAGATAATTTATTCGAATTGAGAATAACATAACAATTCGTTCAGTGAATTTGCAATTATTCGTTCTTTGGTTATTGTGCTAAAACGTATTCCAAAAACTTGTTTACAAATGTAACTGCAAAAGAGGATTGATTAACGATACCAGTTTCGAAAAGAAAAGATTTTGTAAGAAATTTATCATATTTCCTCTCGTATACCCCCCACCCTTTTTTGTCAATTTTACCATCCAAAAATCGAGAAGGAAAATTTACAGGAATAATTTCATTTCCGAAAGAGGAAGTTACAGTAAGAACATAATAAATGGAAAGTAGTCGTGGATAAACTACGAGCAACTATCACAACAGTATTCCTTTAAAAGAAACCTACGTTCCAACAAGAACACATATAATATTAACATTACTATATCTAATAAGGTATCTTCATATCTATTTTCCTGTAAGATGAATCTCGCCCGTTTTGCTGCTGTCTCTGGTACTCGTTGGGCCTCAAATCATCCGTAAATAATTAGAGAAAAATTTGTAACCGACTGAGCTAAATAATGGATTAAATGTCATTTCGAGTTTGCTTCACTGTGTTATTCTCTTGTAGTAGGCTGTCATAAAATTCAACAATTAGACTGGAAAGTTTCGGCTGGACCTTCGCCGGTAGTTTTGCCAGGATTTGTCCTTTATAGTACGAAAATAGTCACTATGTGGACGAATTTATTTTAAAATTTAGGGAAGCTCGTTCTCTGAATGCGTTGAGGAATGTAAATATTATGTAAATATCTTTAATATTTTCATTACTTCATTAATATTTTCATTACTTCATTATAGGCTTATGCCAAAGCTCTACACAGCATTTATGATACTTTACTAATGTTCCATTCGGGGAATTACATTGACAGCTCGCTTAAAGACTTTATTGATTCAGTTATCTCTGCCCATAAATGTACAACTAAGGAAACTGTTAATCGGAAGCCAATTCGCTGAAAGGAATTGAAGGGCTCTTGTTAAACAGGGAAAGGCTGCTAGACGGATTTTTCAGCGGACTAAGCACCCTGAAGACAAGCGCAGACTTAATCACCTCAATGGATGCTGTCAGATCTTTTACCACGACAGAAGCACAACTCGACTGGAGAAACTACTTGAGTTCACTTTCCACAGATGCAGTTCTATATGGAGAGCAGTCTCCAGGTATAAAAGATGCCACAATATTATTCCGCTTCTTAAAAACCCCAGCAGCATGCACTACACTGAAGCTGAGACAGCAGAACTTTTAGTGCAGCATCTGGAATTTCTTTTTACTGACAACATTCACGACTCTACAATAGAACGTATAATTTCGAGTTTTCACTCCAACTACACTTCAAACCCGCTCTCGAACAACATTGTCCCTGTAGACCCTCAAAAGTACTTGACTACACCAAAAAATTGAAAAAGGAAAAGATGAAATCACCAACGGAATGATCAAGTTATTCCGGATCAAACTAGTATTTAAATTGACCAAATATCATCAGCACAGTTAAAGATATTCGTATAGTGATAAGATGGCAGTATTTTTCGACGCTTGGAAGGTGGCCTCCATTACGCCGTTATTGAAGCCTAGCAAGTTTGCTATAGCACTGGAATCCTATCGTCCGATTAGTCTGTTGCCTTGTTTAAGTAAAATCGCAGCAGCTGCCATTCTTAAGCGAATCAACGAACACTTGGATACCAAAAAATTATTATTCCGCACCAGTTTGGCTTCAGAAGAAACTTGTCTACTTCTCACCAACTATACACAGTAATCAATGGTGATTTCAGAAGGCCTTCAAGATAACTGGCCAAGAAGATAACTGGAGGTTTGTTTATCGATATCGCCAAGGCTTTTGATCGTGTCTGGATGGATGCTCTTATTTACAAAATCCATAACCTGAGTCTCTCAGATTACATTACAAACATAATTAAATCCTACACAAAAGGTAGATATTTTGCCATTCGCGTCTGTAACACTTTCCTAACCACTCGTGCTATTGCAGCCGTTGTACCACAAGGTTCTTTATTTGGTTCCACGCTTTTCAATATCTTTTTCAACAACATTCCTTACACAGGCAACACTAAACTTGCAATGTACGCTGATGGTACGGCGATCCTTGCACAAAGCTCATTTGTTTGTCCAGTCTTCCAATGTCTACGAACTCAAACTGAGGCACTGGAGACATGGTTAGCTAAATGGAAAATTCAAGTAAATGTGGATAAGACGGTTGCCGTTCTCATCACCAGAATGAAGATTTTTTATAATGTCCAGTTTTATGGCATTACGTTGCCCTGGACTAAGCAAGTTCTTTATCTCGGGGTATAGTTCTCTCACATGAACCCCACACACTACATCTACCATCCAGAAGTTTCGAGAACGTAAAGCTACACTCTTCCCCTTAATTTCTCGAAACATTGTTCTACCTGTTGATAACAAATTACTCATTGATAAATCCATTCTGCGTCCCATGCTGTGTTATGCCTGTCTAGTCTGGGCTTATTCATGCAAGACAAGCAGAAAAAGATTGCAAGCTGCTCAGAACAGCATTTCAAGGCAGATTACAAATGTCCCTTACTACATCAGAACCAAAAACTTCATGAAGAATTAAAAATTGTGCAATTAAGAACGCATTATCATAAGTTCGCAAATGTCTTTCACCAGAAAAACGAGGAGTTTACAGAATACGGAGATAAAAATTTATAATTACGACTGTTCTGATAGTAACAGCAGTATGTGAAATGTTGTCAGAAAGGATAACGGACCATCTCCCGGAGAGAACTTAAAATCCACTCTTGCGGGAGAAACGCCTAACAAGAACGCATGAAATGGAAGAAGTTTCGTTGTTAGAACTGCATAGTTTCCAAAAGCGGAGTTACTCTTTGTTAGGGTCTTTTCTACTATTCCTGTTACATCACATTTAAGTTACTTTTCCCCCAAATGTCAAGAACATAATACTTTGCTTTTGCTTTCAGTAGATAAAATGAAATTCATTACAGTATAAGATATTTATATACTTAAGACACAATAACACGCCGAATAAATACTAATTCAGAAGTCAAACAACAAAAATCAGATTTCATGCATTTTGCTTACGTTTTGTTTTCTATTAATTTCAGTGAGGGATTTTTCTGCTTCTGCTTTTTGCGTATTATTGTTTAGTTAATTTAGTTTGATTTTCTGTATTGTTTATCATGCCTTCATCCGTTATCGTTTCACTAAATTACGCCTGAAAACGGCAAAAATTCCTGAATCATCTTGACTTTTTACTTAAATGTAAATGTAAAAATTGATCCCAAATTTTATTCAAATCAAATCTAATCAAAAATCTTCGAGTCGCGTTTCAAGAATTCTGTTAAATTGCAAGCTTGCCTTACTTCGGTCCGTCATAAGGGATACACGTCAACAATTGTCCAAATTGAACGTGAACTCTATAAGCTTCATCTGGAACTCGCTAAATCATATCCAAAATTCACTGCCCTTGAACAAAAGTCTTGGTCTAGAACGGAGAATGCAGTTAAACCGTCAAAAACACCCTTGCAGTTAATTCGAAAAACTTCTTTTACAATCTTCCAGTTCAAGTAGTTCAAAAAATCTTCCCATTGTAAACATCAAGCCATAGTTAATATTTCTAATGTTAGTCTTTCAGAAGAACAGAGAGAATTCTAAAATATAATTTTAACTTCTCACAAACCTGTAAACCCTCGATTCCAAATATTTTGGCTCCTATCGAAAAAGCTTTCAAGTTCAGTAAAGTTTCAGATTCACAGAAAGAAATGATTAGGCATCTTATCGCTCATAATGTGAAATTCAATAATAAACCTTTGAAACCAAATCTAACTGCGAGAGAAAGAGCTACAATTGCGTGAAATTCATTCTAACCCGGATATTATTATTTCAAAGGCCGACAAAGGTGGCCAGATAGTCGTCATGGATAACACTTACATCGATGGTGTCACTAAACTCTTAAACGAAGGACCATATAATCCGATCCCTAAAGATCCTTCACCTTCGGACGTGTCAAAATAAAAACGACTGCGATCAAATCTTCGCAAATCATTTCAGGCAACTTAAAACATTCACTTATCCCATCTGTTGCGAATTGTGCCAGATTATATGCTCTTCCCAAAATTCATAAAAGTGGTATTCCTTTCCGCCCTATTGTATCAAATTTAGGTACTGCCTCTATCCATTAGCTAAATTTTAGTTTTCTAGATTTTCAACTCTATTAGACAATAACATTTACACCATAAAAATTCAATAGAGTTTGTAAAAAAAGTTAAAAACATTTCTCCTAGTAATTTACTCATGGTTTTTTTGATGTAAAATCATTATTCACCAATGTCCCAGTGGAGGGTGCATTAAGATGTCTAGAAACCAGACTTCGCGAATTTCATTTTCTTGCATCGAAATTGATGAGCTAATTTCTCTCACTCAACTCTGTTTGAAACAAACACATTTTGTTTTCCAAATAAAATACAAGCAAACTGAGGGAGGCCATGGGAAGCCCCCTCTCCCACTGGCTGATATCTACAGCTTATTATGAATCAAAATTGGAAACTTTAAACTCCCCCAACTCCCCCCCCCCCCCCCCCCCCCCCCCCCCCCCCCCCCCCCCCCCCCCCCCCCCCCCCCCCCCCCCCCCCCCCCCCACCCCCCCCCCCCAATAAAGAGAAGCATAGAGGGATATCCTGCTACACGATAACACACGTGACACATTTACACCTATAAACCCCCAAAATTCAGATACTAATTATGCTATAGAGTTGCAGTAACACAAAGTTCAAAAAAATCAATGCTCACCTTGAGTAATTTATTCCCTCGTTCCATTTCTTTTGACGTATCCCAAATAATCGA